TGTGTGTGTGTGTGTCTTTCTGAGACTGGGTCTCACTACGCAGTTCAGGCTGGCCTTGAGTTCACTTTGTAACCCAGGCTGGCCTCGAACTCTCAACCATCCTCCTGTCTCAGCCTCCCAAGTGCTAGGATTATAGGGGTGTGCCACCACGCCCGGCCACATGACTTTCTGAACTGTTGACTTCCCCTTTAGATTTTGGTATTGGCATTTTCCACAACGCAGGAAACAACTGAATTGCTTAGAATAAATTTTGATAGGTAGGCACATGAACTAGTTATCACCTCTACTTCTTCACTTTCTGTTTAGAGCCCTATACAACCACAGATAGCACTCTTATTTATGGTAAGAATTGTTTTCTGAGGAAGGAAAACATGCACTATTATTCTCTCCTGACTGAGGTATCTGACACAAAGCATGCCTAGCACTTCAGAAAATTAGTAATCATATAAGGCACCCATGATGGTTTACTCTAATTGCAAATGTAGTACCTAAGGGAAAATAATTTCCAGGTGGTTGTCCAATTCAAACCAACTAAATGAAGGCAGGCATTGCAAGGGAAATTTCAGAGACTGGTGAGGGAAGTATTGGTGAGTGTTGGACTTAAATGACCCTTATTATTAACTTGGTGTTTCTGGCTTCATCTTTGCCCTAAGATTGTCGTGTCCCCAAAAATAGATGGAAAGTAATCGAGGGATAGGGTGACTTTGCCAGGTAAGTAGCCATGCTAATAATCAAAGTCTGTTTTGCTAAGTGTCTGTCTCCAGTGCTCATGGTGGTGTCCTCTGGCCATTCATGACTTCACCCAAGGTAACGGCTACGTTCAGCTTCCTTCTGGTGTTCTCCCTGCTGTGCCCAGCTTAGGAAGCATTTTTGTCAACATTTCCTAAGAGCCTTCTTTCTTCAAGCACCACCCAGCTCCAGGTGCTTGCTGAAGACTTCAGCTTTGAGGCCTCCCTCATCCAAAGTGTCAGTTAATTAGAAACAGCCCTGCTGACAGAGCAACAGCTGAGGAGCAAGAGCATGAAATGAGCTTGGCCCCTCCAACTTCAGCATTTTGCAGTGGTGGTAAAGCTGTGGCACGCATGCACAGTGGACTGTTAACGTCGAAAGCTCTAAAAGTTTGTCATCACCGATTCTAGATTCTCCTGGACAAGCCTCTGGAGCACACAGAGCTGGAGTTTTTCTCCCTAGCCCCCAACCCAGTCTTTCCTGATTGACGAGATCTCTGCCCAGGATAGCAGTGTGGAATGAGCACCATGCTCTGAGCCTCAGCCGACTTGGCCAAGTCCTGACAACCATCTCAGACCAGGACTTGGTCTCCTTTCTCCCAAATATAGCTGGATCCAGTTCAATGCTTTGCCAGGCTGATGCCTTTGGAAGAAAATCACCACCTTTTGCTCAGTTATGATTACCTTTGGGGCCCAGCAGTCGGTCTGTTAATTCTAGATCCTGAAAATGACATTGATTAGACGTGAGTTTGCCATAGCCAGTTGGTGATTTGGGGTGATTCCTACCTCCTCCAGGTGTGCCTAGCTCTGGTCTACACTGCTTTGGCTGCCAACTCACTCTCAAGTTCTTAGTTTACAAGAGCTCCCTCTTGGCCCAAGGACACAATCATTTAGCTTTGAAAATCATCCTCATTTCCTGTTGTGTGGGTTTAATTTCATTTTTCTTAAAAGGTGTCTTTCAAAATCTAAAATTGCACCTACTAGATTAGTTTTGAAGCAATCTTGACCTTGAGACTTAAGGCATCATTACCAGACCAACAGCTTCAGAAACCCCTTGGAGCTTCGGCCCTTCTTAGACCTATGAAGTCAAAATTCACATTGGAGCAACATGATTCATCTGCACATCCCAAGTTGAAACTACTGACAGAAAAACCGCTCATCATAACAGAGCCTCATGCAATGGAGGGGCCCCCGGGAAACCACAGAAAGGTCAGAGGCAAGATTCCTATGAAAGAACAGAAATAACGTTGCAGAAAGGAATTAGTTCTGAAACTGAAGTGACTTTACATCACTGTACTCAAGAAAGCCTTGAGTTTGCTCAAAACTCGACCTATGTAGGTTGGCCTAAGAAATGGTTCTTGTAAGGGGCGAATTTCTTCTGAACTTTCTTCCTGGCATTTTCCTTCTGTCTCTGCCTTGTGTGAGAGAGATACCATGGTGGTCTATAAAAATTACCACACAGGAAATAACAGGAGGCTCTTAATTAACAAATTCCTGCACACTATTTCTTCTTTATATTTGGAGCCTTGCAGAGCCTCTGGGCATCTACACACAATTAGGAGGATCAGCAAGAGAGCCAGGCAAGTTGCAGCTTTTCGTTAGCCTCTTGGATACTCACTCAGGTAAGTGCTGCTTCTCCTATACAGTAAGTTCTCTGCCAAGGGCAGTTGGTTGGCTGATAACCAAGGAAGGTGAGTCCCCTTAAGAGGTACCACAAGTGCAGAGCTGGTTCTAAGGAA